CACACAGCCGCTCGGCTGAGGGGCCGTGCCCAGCAGTGGGTGGCCGGGCTGCTGCCCATAAGGGCCCAGCCCTGGGTGGGGGCGGGATGAGGGGACTCCTCTGGTCCACAGTCCTACGATTACAGGCCCAACCTCTTCTTCAGAGACTTATCTCACATCTTGCTTTAAAAAGTATTTTAAATATTTCCACCAAAAGGCTGGAAGCATATAACCATCAATTAAAAATCAAACAATCAAGGCAAAACAATCCGCACACACGCAAAGGCAACAACTCAACCACGCTACCCATTACCACAAACGAGGCAAGACAAACAAATAAGAAGTCGGAAAGTAAAATTCATTTCTCAGCCTACTTAATAAATGCTTTTTGACATTTCAGAATCTGTCTGTGGCCCAGTATCAAGAGAGACCCACGCATACAGGGTCTGGGTACTCTCGGCGGTTCAAGTCTCGAAAGACACCTGAGCAGAGCCTGTCGGGGAACCCCAGCAGGCTCTGTAAACAGGGAAGTTATTTTTAAAATATAATAAATCAACAGGGACATCTTTTATGGGGTTTTCTTATATAACCTGAATTTGGAAGGTAGGTTAGTAAGAAAGCGATTGCCCACATCCTATGAAGTTTACTGCTTTTTAAGAAAAAATTATTTTCTTTTCTTTTTTTTTTTTAAAGATTTTATTATTTATTTGACAGACAAGAGATCACAAGTAGTCAGAGAGGCAGGCAGAGAGAGAGGAGGAAGCAGGCTCCCCGCTGAGCAGAGAGCCCGATGCAGGACTCAACCCCAGGACCCTGAGATCATGACCTGAGCCGAAAGCAGAGGCTTAACCCACTGAGCCACCCAGGTGCCCCCAAGAAAAAATTATTTTAAATTGAAACAAAAAAAAACCACCTTTTGCACCCTCAAAGAAAATAATTGATTCAGGCAACGGTCACTAGTGGATGCTAAAGCCACGGGGCGGGAGCTGGACCATTACAAGATGCTCCCCTATTGCCTCAGCGACGAGTTCCCAGTGAGAAGGGAGAAGACACAATGTGACAAATACAAGGGTCAGGAGCAAGTTCAGGGACAATGCGAGGAGGCAAGCAGATAAAACACAGAATGTAGGTCATTTCATGAGATGGCTGACCTGATTTCAATAAGACTTGATTAAAAAAAAAAAATCAGGTGGGGAAAGGGGACCCATCACACAAGAAAAAAGAGCCAATTTCAATGTGTAGACCTTCCTTTGATCCGATAGACACAGACCACCTTTAAAAGACAATGGTGGGGCGGGGGCGGGGGGGGGGCGCCCGGGTGGCTCAGTGGGTTGGAGCCTCTGCCTTAGGCTCAGGTCATGATCCCAGGGTCCTGGGAACGAGCCCTGCATTGGGCTCTCTGCTCAGCAGGGAGCCTGCTTCCCTTCCCCTCTCTCTGCCTGCCTCTGTGCCTACTTGTGATCTCTGTCAAATAAATAAATAAAATTGTAAAAAAAAAAAAAAAAGACAATGGTAGGACAACTGGGGAACTTTGAACGTGACTTGGTATTAGGTAATATTAAAGGGCTATTGTGATAATGATCAAATGATTCTATAAGAAAAGCGTCCAGTTTTTTTTTTTTTTTTTTTCAGAGATTAGCTCTGAAACATTTTGAAGTGATACGTCGCCATGTCTGGGACTTTCTTTAAAATATTTTGCTAAAAAATTATTTGCTAAATAATCCAAAAAAATATTTTGCTAAAAAATAAACTAAGGAAAGAGAGGGAAATGTTGATAATCACTAAGTCTAGGTGACAGATAAATGAGGGTTCATTATACTAGACTCTCTCATTTATGTTGGAGAGTATTCATAATAAAAAGTTTTAAACTATTAATGTTAACTATTCATTTTAAATTGTAGGAATTGCATATGAATAAAGAATACACTTTCACAGCAAAAAGTCCACGCGGAAATGATAACCAAAGCTCAACTCCTCTTCGTCCCCTAGTCCCTAGGTCAGCCCCCACCCCAGAAGTAAATACCATTAGCATTTGGGTGTTTAGAGATTATTTTTCAATTTCTTAGCTGCACCTGCTGGAATCCCAGCTCTTAGCACTGGGCAAGGACAGAAAGTAGACATCGCCCACTTGCCAGCATCCAACACATATTTGAAGGTTCTTGGGCAAACTGAGCGGCTTCTCCTCCCTGATTTCAACTTAGGGGGCTTTTGCTCATCAGGAACACCCAGCTAAAGTTCGCTTCAAGATCCTGCCTGGATCCTGCCTGCTGCCTTTCAGCCACTTTACAGAACTGACTCCAATCGCCATGCCCCCTCTCTCTGCCTACACCCTCCTCCCCCAGCTATCAAAGCACTTAGAACACTTTAGTGCATGAGTTTATGAACAAACAGATGGAAAATGCCCGGACCAGTCACAGAGGGGTTGGGACAAGAGCTTTGGGGTGGGAGGCGTGAGGAGGTCACACATAGCTGGGTTTATGGACCATTTCAATGGATTTTAAGAGCATCGTACCTCAAGGTATTCTCCTTGGTTCGTACCAAACCATTCTCCTTTTTCTTCCTTTCTCATCATGCTGAGTATTGTAGGAGACAGAAGTGTGAGGCACGAATTTGATTCTAGTTAACACATGCCAATGCCCCAGGCCCAGGGCTGGCCACGGGAGGAGGGCGGCCTTTCGAAGCCGAAGCCTCGAGCTGCTAAACCACAGGAAGTGAAACTTGGTCACCAGTAAACAGGTTTGGACCACTGAAGTCTTAATTATCATGCAGAAGTTTCTTTCTTTCTTTCTTTCTTTCTTTTTTTTTCTTCCTGAGAGTTGGGTGTGAGGAAGAACTTATTTTTCTTTTAAGATTAGGAATGTGGGGGAAAAGTCTTGAAAAAAAAAAATCACTACCAGGATGTCTGGATGGCTCAGTCAGTTAAGTGTCTGCCTTCAGCTCAAGTCATGATGTCAGAGTCCTAGGATCGAGCCCCGCATGGGGCTCCTTGCTCGGCGGGAAGCCTGCTTCTCCCTCTGCCTGCTGCTCCTCCTGCTTGTGCTCTCTCTCTCTCTCTCTGGCACATAAATAAATAAAATATTTTAAAAATAAATAAAAATTTTTGAAAAATCACTACACCTTTCCCCGGTGCCTGGCTGGCTCAGTCCAAGGAGCATGTGACTCTTGATCTCGGGGTTATGAGTTGGAGTCCCACTTTGGGTGGAGAGGTTCCTTGATAATTACATAATGCTAAAACCTATCTTATCTACATGATTTCACTATCCTCCCCACAGCCACACCAGTGCATCCACCATCCCCATTTTACAGAGGAAGAAACTGAGGCTAATTTGTCTGAGTCCAAAACACATACTTTTTGTATCTCTCCTAAATTACGTCCCCGAGCTGCCCAATAACCACCTACCAGGCAAAGTGAGGAAAGGCCCCACTAGGTCAGGTGCTACTTTGGGGGGCACCTCTATCTCCAGGCACTTGAGAAAAACAAGCAGTTATCAGATTTCTAATAATCCAGCCCTGATCAGAGCAGCAGACACCCCTACCCTCACCCTCCATCTCTCCCGCCACCTCCCTTGCCAGCCGCTCGAACTCATGACCTGAGGTGCTGCTCAGACAGGGACTTGGGGGCCCGGGCTCTGCTCCCAGGGACCTGGGACTTCTCCACCACACATAACCCTGACAGGGAAGAAATGCAGTGGGGACCAGGCTGACAAAGTCTTACTATGTGTGCCATCTAACTTCAAGCAGATACGGGCTTTCTCTGTGGGCACTGGAGTGGGGGCGGCTAAGGAGAGCTGGGAGCAGAGGCACCCTCAGGACCCACATGTCCTGTCTGTCAGGATGCTGGTCTCCGCCATGTCTGAAAGCCCCACAATAATCACTGCTTTCTCTGGTCTGTGGTATTTAGGTTTTTGTCTTTGTAGTTGTACTGTTTTTAACATAATTCACTTAAAGTTTTTCTTAAAGTTTCAAAATCTCGGGGCGCCTAGGTGGCTCAGTGGGTTAAGCATCTGCCTTCGGCTCAGGCCGAGATCCTAGGGGTCCTGGAATGGAGCCCCGTGTGGGGCTCCCCGCTCGGCAGGGTGTCTGCTTCTTCCTCTCTCTCTGAACCTACCTCCGCAACCACCGCCTTGCTTGCCCTCTTACTCTCTTGCTCACATAAATAAACACATGAATAAATAATCTCTTAAATTTTTTTTTTAAAGTTTCAAATTCTCTGGGTCTCTAGACACAGAAGAGAGGATAGCCAGAGACCAGGGCCCCCAGAGCAAGGCAAGGTAGGCTGGGGGCTTGGGGCTTGCAGTGAGGGAGGGGCCCGTTCACCCCTCAGGAGAGGAAGGATCCGCGTCCTCCATCAGCTGGGCTATCGGAAGCAAGGAATTCTCAGGCTGGATTAGAGCCTAGGACAACTCCACTCCACCCTCGTCACTTTCACTCTCAGGATTTTTTCTCCTCCAAGGCACAGGGAAGAAAGACCAGAGCATCATTGGTCCAGATCCAAGAGCGATCAACTCTCGCCCCCTGGTGGCCGCACCAGGGAGCGCATGCTATAACTGAGGCCGGCGCAGTACGTTAAGAGGGGAGGATGGCGCCAGTCTCAGGGGCCAGGGCTCTGGGCCGGAGGCACTCAGACACAGGGCTGTGGCCCCTGGAATCCTATGGGAGCCCTGGTGGCTCGGATGGAGGAGGTGGAGAGGAAGAGGTAGGAAGAACGAGAGAAAGGGGAAGGAAACATGCAAAGGAAGAGAGAGAAGGTGGGAAGGGTAAGCACCGTGGAGAGGATCTGGTGGCATCCAGAAAGCAGCTGAGAATTGCCAGCCTGCTGGATGCTGCTGTGTCTTGGTGAAGTGGGCTCCTTTTCCACCTCATGCAACTCAGGAGTCGGAGCCCCACGGAGGGCTCTGTCCTGCATTCCAAGCAGGTCTCTAAATGCAACGTCTTTGCCCAAGTTGCCCTGCCCTTGGGGCAGTGAAACACCCAGCCTTGGCCCCCTAAGGTGGTCGTATGCATTTCCCACAGCTACTTACCTCCTGCCACCAGCCTGTGCCCCGTCGAGAGGGTTCTGCGCCACAGAGGCAGATGCCAACGGGCAGTGCCCCTCCTGCACCTGCCCTCAGCTGCGAGCTGCAGGATGCGGTCAGGAGAGGAAACAGGGCCTCGGGCTCCGAGTCATTCTGGGGTTTCCAAAAGGCTTCTTGCCGAGGGCATCGACAGGGCACTGTCTGCACCACTGAGAATCGACTCATTCTTTTCACCCAGCCCACGGAGGGAGGGGGAGAGGAGGGTGGGCAAGGTGAGTGAGCCTCATCCTCTGCTAGGCCCAAGGGCCTGAGGACACCTGAGTCAGCAGGACCAGGGCAGCTCCCATGGGCAGGGAGAGTTCTGGGGCACCCCCTCCCCACAGTATGTGGGGAAGGGCTGTTCCCAGCACAGACGGGCAGCTGCTCAGCCACCACGAGGCTTTCAGAAGCCAAGCTACGGAGTTTCCAGCTTGTGCCCCCTTCTCCTCTCTGGCAGGAACTCAGAAAGCTTTTCTCAAGACCCCTCCACCACTTCCCAGGACTAACCATCCGATGGAAAAGAACTGTGGCCCCCTTCAGCTAAAGTGAGAAGGACAGAAACCTGTTGGGTGCTTGGTGGACTCTCCCAATGAGCACCCCCCGCTCCTTCCATAGTCTGGGCTAGTCGGTTCCCTTTAAGGGCTCTGGTTTCTGCTTCCAGAACGAACATCTGCTTCCCCAGCCCTGGCTTCTTCAGACCCTGCTCAAACCAGTCCCAGGCTTTGTGCTCAGAGCTGTGCGGCAGCAAATCAAGCTATGGCCCAAGGACTGCAGATACATTTTGCTTGACTGCTTTTAAATTTTTTTTTTTTTAAAGATTTTGTTTATTTGACAGAGAGAGATCACAAGTAGACAGAGAGGCAGGCAGAGAGAGAGAGAGGGAAGCAGGCTCCCTGCTGAGCAGAGAGCCCGATGCGGCACTCGATCCCAGGACCCTGAGATCATGACCTGAGCTGAAGGCAGCGGCTTAACCCACTGAGCCACCCAGGCGCCCCTGCTTTTAAATTTTTAATAAAAGAATCAAATGTGTACAAATTAGGAGATCTCACATTTCACACAAAATCTGGGTTTCCAGATTTTGTTTTAAAAATAGAAGCCCTTTTCTTGTGACATTTGCAGTGACAGCTGCCCTGAAACAGAGCCTCAGTGTTGGAATTTGCCATAGTCTCCACCATGCCCTTCTGTGCCCCTCTCCCCCGACATATGCCAAGGCCAGGTCCATAAATCAATTTGATTCTGTTCTGGGCCTCTGGGGTGACAAAAACTGGTATTTTCTCAAGCAGGATCCTGAAGGTTTAGGGGAGCACCAGAGAGCAGGGTAAGGGCTGGCAGCTAGCTGCTCTAGCTCCCTGGGGTCTCTTATAGCCTGAGCTCCTGCTTCCTGGGTATGTGCAGTGCACAGTTATGTTGAGGCCAGAAACTTGGGCCTGAGCATCCCACCTCCCAGACCTGGTGAGGCCCCGCTACCACTTATGGGCACTGCATGAAGTAGTGTTCAGGGTCCTGGCTGCCTAGGACACACACTATTTTCCTTCACATTCCCAGGTCATCACACCTCTTTTTCCTGGCCTCCAAAAGCCACATCTCTGCCCTTGAACCTCAGGACCCCTGGCATTGTCTCAGGAGCCTTGGGGCTAAGGCCTTCAGGAAGGTTCTGCTTTCCTCCCAGAGAAAAGGCAGCAGTGAATGGAAAGGGAGAAGGAATGCAAATCAATGCTTCAACAAACTGTGCCATTCCATGAGTAATATAATAATATAATAATGCTTACCTTCAAAGGCACATTACCCTCTATCCTTAAACACTCCCAGAATTCCACGCCCCCCCCCCGCAATGTCTTTTTCTCATCTTACACACCCTACCTGGGTGATTTCACCCACTCCCAGATCTCCAGCTCTCTAGTGTCTCCTAAACCCCACTCTCCAACCTTCCTTGTGGTTTAGAGCTCCACCTCCTGCCAACACTACTGGGCTGCTGACTGGACATTACCTTCAATGTCCTCAGGTGAATACATCTTACGCTGAACTCTCAAGCTAGAAATCTGGGAAACCCTCGACTCTTCCCTTTTCCTACCTGCCATGTCTTTAGTCAGTCAGTTGTGAAGTCAAGCAAGATCTACCATCCTGTATGGCTGTTTCTAAACTCTCCCCAGTCCGTTTGCTCATTGATCTAACAATGAGTCTGCCTAGGTTCTGGATTGACAGTTTTCAATATCGTGATGGATAATTTTACGTGTCAACTTGGCTAGGCCTGTGGTTTCCAGATATTTGGTCAAATATTACCCAGGATGTTTCTGTGAAGGTATTTTTTTTATTTATTTATTTATTTATTTATTTATTTATTTATTTATTTATTACTTTTAAGTGGTCTCTCCACCCAACATGGAGCTCAAACTCACAAGCCAAAAGTTACACCTGGCACCCCTCTGTGAAGGTATTTTTTTTTTAAAGGATTTTATTTATTTATTTGACAGAGAAAGAGATCACAAGTAGGCAGAGAGGCAGGCAGAGAGAGAGGGAAGCAGGCTCCCTGCTGAGCAGAGAGCCCGATGCGGGACTCGAGCCCTGGGATCACGATCTGAGCCTAAGGCAGAGGCTTTAACCCACTGAGCCACCCAGGCGCCCTGTGAAGGTATTTTTAAAAGGGATTAACATTTAAGGGAACAGTGGACTCTGAGTAAAACATTATTCTCCATAATACGGGTGGACCTCATCCAATCAGTTGAAGGCCTTAATAGGAAAAAGACTGACCTTCTCTGATGAAGAAGGAATTCTGTAAGCAGAGTGCCTTTGGACTTGAACTGCAGTCTTCTCTGGGTCTTCAGCATGTCAGGCCACCCTGCAGATTTTGGACTTGTCAGCAATTCCAATAGCATTCCTTAAAATAAATCTCTTTTTCTCTGCATCTCTCTCTTTCTAATATATATGTATACACACACACATATTTATACCTATTGATTATGTTTTTCTGGAGAACCTTGACTAGTACAAGTAGCTTCTCTTCAATTTCAGGATAAAAATCTTAAGCCTTAGCTAGCCCACACAGCTCTTCAGTCAACTTAGTTCAGACAGTGCTTTTGTATGAATGAGAGAAAGTCGCCCTCTCTAGGCAGAACCAGGGCACACAGTTTGGTAGGTGGAACACCGATGAGCCCTCCTTATTAGTGTGGTGCACAACCTGGACAACCGCATAGAGCTACACTTCTTCCTGATGAGCCTCTGCCTGCCACTTTAGGCTTGTCTTTCTTTGTTTTCATTTTTTTCCTTCCGCCTCATCCTACACCCTAAGTTCCCTGTAGCTCCTAGAACCTACTGTGCTTCTTTGCCATTATGCTTTTGGATATCCCGTCATTGCTGCCTCAAAATCCTCCTTATACCTCCCAAATTCCCCTGGCGCTGCCTTCTCTCGCTTTTGCGACCCTCCTTCTGGCCCAGCCTCTTCCGCTCTCCTGTCTCTGTCTCTCTCGACCCTGGGTTCTAGCCCTTACTTCATTCATACTATTGCTACTTGATTACTCGCCTCTTTCTACTGGGGAATCATCCAGGGAAGAATCTGAACTGTGATCCACCGTGCTGAGCACTAGTAGGTGCTCAGTAAGATTCCTGGACAGACGAAAGCAGGGAAGAGTGAATGAAGGATGGCTGGAGGGGCACGGGGCTAGCGGGAACAGTAGGAGGCGCTCACCAGGAGTGGGCTCCTCTCCTGGCCCCGCCGGAGTGCGGCCAGCCGGCGCCCAGGAGGACTGGGCTGGGGCTGGAGGAGGGGGAGGCAATTCCCGCGGCGCCAGCGCGGTGCACGGCGAGGGAGAAGGGGACCGGCGAGGAGGGGGAGGGGGCCTGCGAGGGAGGGGCGCGGCGCCCTCTTGCCGGCTTCTCTCATTCTTTCACCCCGGGGTCTCGGGGAATGGAAACGGCCCCCGGTCAGGCCGGAGCGCGCGGATGAAAGGCGGCCCTCGGCCGGAGAGCCGAGCCTCCTCCCGCCCGGGCGGCGGAAACTGGCAGCGCGGGGGGTGTCCCGCCACGCCCGCGTCCCAAAGCGGGAGAAGGGGGCAGCCTCGCCTCCTCGAACGGGGGTCTCCCAAGAAAACCCATTACTGCTGGCATCTTGCCACCCCGACAGGGGGCCCCGCCCCGACTCTTGCCTCGGAATCTCGAATCCCTTCTTGAGTCTTTCCCCTCTTTCCAATGGGCCTTGGTATGCCCCAGGGGACAGATGTCTTGGGATCTTTAACATTTGGGATGCTGCAAATGCCGAAGTTAAATGAAATACCTCCCGGGAGGGAAGGCCGGGGGGAGACTCGGGGAGAGAGGAGATGGCCTGGACAAGCAGGTCCTGAAGCTGCGAGGCAGGATCGGGGGGCGCGGGGACAGGCGGGCGGCGCCAGAGCTCCATGGGACAGGTAAGGGGGAAAACTTAGGGGGAAGCAGCGCGGGTGAACTGAGGGGTGGGGGGAGTTCAAGCTCCTAAACCCATGGTCTTCGGCCTTAACGAAGCTGGCCCTAAAAGGAATGGAGTAATTTACAAAAGGGGTGGGAATTTCAAGGTCCTACCCAAAGTGCACATTTCCGACTCCTCAACCCTTCTTCGACCTTCCCCATGCCTGTGGATCCCCTGGCCAGGTTCCGGGAAGCCAGAAAACAGCCTAACAAAAGGAGCAAAGTCTGGGGCCGCCTGGATGCGGAGGGCGCGGTGGGGGAGGGGAGCAGGGTGGACGGACAAAGGGGCTTTTTAAGGAAAGCCTAGAGGTCTGATTTCAGGGCACATTCCAGGCTAGAATGGAGTTCTCCTGTCCTAGCCCACTCCACCATCGCCTGCTGGAGAACACCTTTCCCAGTGGGAAGAGAGAAGAGTGCAGTAAGAAAACGATTCAGGAGCCCTCTCCCACCCGCCTTCGCCTAGAGGGTCCCGGGCTCCTTGGCCTTTTTCTGCTCTGTTGACTCCGGCAGCTGACCATTGCTTTGTTAATTCATTAAGTGGGATTTTCCGAGCACCCGAGGCCGCGCTCGGCTGGGTGCTGGTGGCAATGTGAGGGTGGTAGGAGGAGGCCCTTGCTTTGAACAACTTCCAATCTCATGTATTAGAAGCAATTTAAAGAAGGGACTTCAAAACAATGTTGGAGAGGATGGCTACAGAGTGTGGAAGTTTCCTGATTTGGGACTTGTGGTTGGGAACTGAAAACCCGAAAGAGATTCAGTGTTTCTCCTTTCAACAATCAGATTCCAAGTCCTTTAACTCTGCTCAGGGAAACCACTTCCTCCACCGCCAAGTGGTGGTCCTGGTGTGGATGCCCTGGGGTTTGGGGCAGGGCATTGATTAGTCAGTCCCCCAATCCCCTAGGCTGACTGGGAGGGAGGCAGTGAACCCCAAAATTCCCAGTTTCTGGGGTGCCCACCTCCCTTTTGGTGTTTTGAGTTCACAGGCATGGCCGACCCGTTGAATCTGGTGTTCTTGGGAGAGTTGGTTTTCTAGTCCCATCCCAAACCTCACGTTTTGCTGGGCAGGAAATGCTGCATGTGAATTTGAGGGAACAAGGGGGTTTTCGAGAGTTCCAGGGGATCAGTGCAGTGAGTGGATTATCTGTGTTTCTCTCCTCTGAGCTCAGAGATGGGAGGGTCCCAGATGGTGGTGTTCTTAGCTGGGTCCTGGGCACCAAAGCATCTGTGGATAGAATTCAGAGGGTTTATGAACTTAGATGGGGAAAAAAATTTTTTTATTTCACACCAACCTTTAACAAAATTTAGCATTGCCTTCAGTTACAACGGCAAGAAACCACAGGCAGTACTTGTGACTTCGCCATTGATAGAATTCACAGATAGTTTTACACCCATTACAGTTGTTTAACTGTCTTGAAGTATTGTTCACTGTTCATCTCCTCTGTGAAATTATCCACTGCTGGATCCTGTTTAATGTTAATAAAGAGGCATATATATTACCATGTTTTTCTGTTTTTAGAACTGTATTTCCATATAGTTGGTTCTCTTAGCGATTGTCTTAATTTCATTTTGTGAGTTAAAATACATGCTATCAGCTAGTTCTAGAAACTTCTATCACCCCCCCACCTGGAGCTGGGGGATGGGCAAGGTGGAGGAAGGGGACCAGTTACAATGAGTCAATCTCTCTCTGTCATTGAAAGAATGTGACAAGTCTATTGGGGGATGGGGAGGACTAGGGGGAGGGAAGGGCTGTGGGTTCTTTGGGAGACCAGACTGAAAGCTGGCTCCACTTCACAGGAGGGCCCCCCCCACTCCCCCCACCCCCGCCTTGGGGCCCCTCAGCCTCAACCTGGAGAGAGGGAGGTGGTCAGCCCGGAGGACTCTGGGGCTAGCATTGTTTGGAAAGAAGGTGTGTATAGGAACGTGAGGGGGAGCAGGGTATGTGTGTAGGGACTCTGGGGACATCAGCAACAGAGCTCAGGCCCCCAGAAGCTGCTTGGTGGAGCAGACTTCCATCATCCTGGCCCTGAGGAATGGGGAGGGGGATGGGGTTTGGAGGTGGGGATGGAGGAGGGAAGTAATCCAGAGAGAGGTAGAGGTGCCTGCCTATACCCCAGGGTTGAGGGGCACCGTGGGAGTATCAGAGAGTGGGAGAAAGGGAGGCAGTGGGATGACATGTCGAGGGGTGCAGTCCTTAACCTACAGTATGTCTCTGTGTGGTCCATGGTGTAGCAACAGGCGGCCTTAGCCCTTGCTTCTCTCAGTGAAATGGGCTAAGTTGTGAACAGTTTTTGGTTTGCTTGAGGCTCAGTGGGGTGGGAGACCTGGAGGTGTATTTTCTGTAGAGAACAGGTTGCATTTTGGTTAGGAATCAAGGAACTGGTCCCTTGATTAGAACAGGTTGCATTTTGGTTAGGAATCAAGGAACTGGTCCCTTGATTAGATGCTGGGGTTCCAGCATGTCTCCTGTGGAGCAGGGGACAGGGCTGGGGTTCAGCTTAGTGTTCGTGGACCCTGCTGAGGGATGGCTGTAAGTAACAAATAGGCCTTGATGATCCTGGGGGGCAATGTCTAGGATGGAAGGAGAGAACACCCTTGCTGTCTTTAGGATCCTAGCACCTTCCCATATGGAGTTCCATAGTTACTCCCCTGCCTGAAGCTTTTTAAAACCTGATTTGGGAGAGATGAAACTCGGGCCTTGGTTTCCTTTCCAGTGTACGGAAAGAGCAATGAGCTCTTCTTGTCACTTTGTCAGTTTCTTGCTGGTATCCCCATGGACTGTGGACCTTCACCCTCCTTCTGGGGGTCTTGCAGACCTTGATTTCTGGAAAGGGAAACTGAGGGTCAGGAGGGCAGTTGTGCAATTAACAGCTCACCGTGTTGCATTAGAGTCCCTTGAGGCCATGAAGACGTAACCCCTCTTGCCTTCTTCTGGGGTTCCTCTTTGGGGAGCCCCTTTCTCCCCACTCCCCGCCCCCTCCCCGCCCCCGGAAGTGCAGAGGCCCAGGAGCTGCCCGCTGGCAAGAGCCACGGCAGGATTAGTTCAGGGAAGGACTTGCTCACCTGCTCCTCCCCTCTGACTCAAGTCACAACAAGTAACCTGGTTCCCCTGGCCGGCAGGCAGCCTAGGAGGAAAGGCAGGCGGGCCAGCAGGCGGGACCAGAGGGAGGGGCGGCCACCGGCAGCGAGCCGAGTGCGGGAGCCAGGTCAGAGAAAGAGGACAGGGAGGTCTGCCTGTGTCCTGGGACACCCTGAGACGGCATGTGACACCCCTCAGCCCCCTGACCTGAGAACAAGGGGTGTTTCCGGAATCCTGGACTAGACCCCAAAAGCAGGTGAGGGCGGGGCGGGGTAGAGCAGGTCTTCGGGGCTGAGGGGCAGACTGGCCCCAGGGGAGGGGGAGTGGCGGGGAGCCCCTGCGGTGGCCAGCACCAACACCCCCTTCCTCCTTGTGTCTTGGGCACAGGATGATGGGGGGTGCTGGTGGGCCCAGATGAGGAGCCCCTTGTTCTGCTGTAGTTCCCAGACCTCAGTCTCTAGGGGAGAAAGGGAGAGGCCCAGGAGCTGGCTTTGGGGGCACATCTGTGATGGGGGAGGGTCCTCAGTGGCTCAGCCTGAAGGACGCTGGTGTTTCCCTTCCTCCGTCTTTGCCTCTTCTTTCCTTCGCCTTTTTCTGGGGACCTTGTTTGGTCAGGTGGCCTGTTTCCTAGGACCCAGGACTGGGGTTTGCTGTCGGGGGGGCTGAGGGTCTGGAGGGCAGGGAGGGATTCCTGCCTTGGGAAGGGGTTTGGCGTGTGCCCTGAACTGCATTTATGGGAAAGCAATGCCTGAAACATCAGGCTCCAGAGACTTCTGTCCTGCTGGTGGAGGTGGGACCCCGGCAGGGTCCATACAGCGAGGAGGGCGACGTTGTCCGAGATTCAGAGAGGGAGGCTGAGAGGGCCTCTCCTACACACTATATAATCTTTGTGCCTATGAGGAAAGCAGGTCCATCCAGGCCAGGCGACTCTCTCAGGACAGCATGGGCCGTGGCTGAACTTGAATCTCCCAACTTCAGGTCCTGTGCTCTTTGCTCTACTTGGAGCCGCGCGTTAGCCCCAAGTGCGCCCAGCGTCCGACTGGGGCCACTGTGAATGCCAGGGCCAGCCTCTTGACCCTGGCAGTGAACACTGGAGGAGTGGGGTATGTCAGGAGGTGGGGGTCTCCTCTCACATCCACCCCTCTGCCCCGGTGACCCTACTACACACGGCAACAGTAAAGGAGGGAAGCCAGGCGGAGGTATCACAACTTCCCAAGGCAACGCCTTCGTGGTTAATAATTAATTAGCAAGTGTGACTAATTAATGGCTTCACTCCCACATCACCTCCTTCCTTGTCCAAAGCAAAATGCCCTCTCCGTCCCAGCTGTGAGGGCCTTGCTTTCTAGCTCTGGCCGGGCCCTGCCCCTGGCTGCTGGGGACGGGTAGAGGCTGCCTGTGGTGGGTGGGGGCTGGGTCAGCGCGGGTGGCTCTCCCACTGCATGTCCTGTTCTGGGTTTCCAGAACATGGGCCATTCTCTCTCTTTGGCATGTTTGCAAAGGCTCCACATAAACGTCTTTCTTTTTTTAATCCTACCATCCGTTCTCTAGACTTTCCTGGAGAATTGGAATTCCAAAGTGCAGGTACCTACTGTTTTCGGGGCTGTGTTTTTATTGCTGTTGCTCAACCGTCCTTTGATGGGCTGAGTGGTTGATGGAGGTCGATAAAAGAGCCCCATCATCCTTCCTGCTCTTCCAGTCTCGAGAGGCAGAGGTCCTCCTGGGGACAGGGCTGCCCGCAGCCCTCTCCCTCTCGCCTTGCTTTGCGCTCAGTTTTCCCAAGGCCTGCCTTCCTCGGCCCTGGGCTGATGGTGGAGGGCGGAGCCCACCTCCTCCACCCCATGGCCCTGTGCCGTAGGCCGGCAGGATAAGCTCCAGACAGAAACTCAGAAGGACTTTTGGACTGTTGCTCAATGGGCTGACTCAGTGAGGAGGTGGCTGGGCTGTCCTTCCAGCCCGCCTGCCTGGGCTCCGCCTGCCTCTCCCCTTCCCTGCTCCAGCCAACAGCTGCCAGAACCCTGGCCGGCGGGGACCCTGAGCAGGGGTGTGAACTCAGGGAGGAGAGAGGGGGCGAACAGCAGGTGTTGTTTTGGCGACGGGAGCCCAGCTGGGCCGACACATTCGGAGAGTGTACCTGTGCCACCGAGTGTGCTCAAGCCCAGGGAGGCAGAGGAGTGGGTGATCTTGGCTCCTCCTTGTCCTCCAGCAGCTTCCACTTTAGTCACAAATCCCACCCCACCCGTGACCCTGACACACACACACACGCGCGCGCGCACACACACACACATACGAACTGGGTCTCCCTGGCTGTGGGGTATAGGGGATCTTGGCCGACTCCTCCTTGAGGGGTCTCCTACACATAGTGGTTTGCTTCCGGGCAGCTCTCTGGCACCTGCCTTTGGATGAAGACCCTGGTCCAGAGGGCTGGGCAGCACGGGCTTTGAGGGCAGCACGGGCTTTGACGGCTTGGCCGAGTACCCAGTACTGTCTGTCACCCACTGGGCAGCGGGACAGGCCTCATGCCTCCTGGGTTCTCAGGCTGAGGATAGTCAGCCGCATGGGGACCGCTGTGCCCCAAGAAGACTTCTTCCCCCTTCTGCTTTCCTTTCCCCCTTGCTTCGTGTTCCCACCCATTTTTATTACCCCTTTCCTTTCCTCCTCTTTCTTGCTCTTTTCCTTATCCTTCTCCCCAGTCGCAGTGGTCCCTGTGGCCACTCAGAAGGAGGCAGCAGGAGGCTAGGGTGGGTTCAGAGGGCCCCCCTGAGAACGGGTTTGCTGGTGAGGCCCGCCGAGCTTTCTCTGCAGCAGCCCCAGCGCCCAGCGCCGACGACCTCCCGACCCCGGACTGTCCCAGAAACCCGGTCCTCGCATCCTCTCCCCCTGCCCTCAAATATCAAAAGACCTTACTTAAGGTCTGTGTAGAACCAAGGGGTTTTACCTACAGCTGGTTTTAGTTTATTTATTTATCTCTTCGAAGCTGGGGAACCTGCAGGCTGTCGCCACATCCTGGCTCAGGTTGGGAACGGCATCACCCCTCCCTACTCTGTGCCCCCTCCTCCCCAACATCCATCATGGAGAGTAAGGATGAGATCAGCGACACCGACAGTGGCATCATCCTGCAATCTGGTGAGTGGTTTGGGGGAATCCCGCCCTGTGGGCCCCCAGCCTGACTCTCCGAGGCCCCAAGCCCCAGGGCTGGCTAGGGTGAGTGGCTGGAAGATGAGTGGGAGAAGGTGGGAGGGGTGGGAGAGGCCTCAGCTGGGGGCTAGATACCCGAGGGGCTGCAGTTTTCCCGGATGGTCTGGCCTGGAGGTCTGATCCTATCTGGAACAGGTCTCTGCAGCTCTGGCCCTAGTGATTACTAAGAAGCTGAAAAATCTTATCTGGCTACTGGAAAGGTCCTGTCTCTCTGGTCGGCCTGAGTCTGTCGTCCTGACAGAAGAGAAGAAAGAAGCACATATGTGAGAGAGAGGGAGAAAGAGAGAGGGGGAAAGAGAAGGAAGAAGTAGTAGAGGCAGAAGTAAATTGTAGGGGTGGAGGGTGGGAAGGGGAAGAACAGAGCTCAGGCCTGTAGCCCGCCTATCACTGCAGATTGCCTTGGGGTTGGGGGCCAGCCCTTTCCCGTGAGCTGTCCTGTTGCCACCTGGGATGGCCAGGAGATGTGTTTGTGGTTATGACACCGGCTGCAGCAGCTGACCTGTCATCTGTGGGCAGGGATGAGGCTGTGTGTGTACATGAGTGTGTGTGTGTGTGTGTGTGTGTGTGTGTGTGTGTCTTTGTACATGGGAACACATCCTCCCCACCACCCCGGGGATAGTTAACAAGTGTCTGAGAGGGTCTCCCCCACCTTGCTGAGCTGTGCCCTGCCACCCCCTAGGCCCCGACAGCCCTGTCTCCCCCATGAAGGAGCTGACGCACGCGGTACGCAAGCAGCAGAGGGCCCTGGAGGCACGGCTGGAGGCACGGCTGGAGGAGCTGAAGAGACTCTGCCTCAGGGAGGCGGTGAGAGCCCCGGCCAGCCCCCTGGGCCCCCAGCAAACCTGGGGTTAATCTGAGCCACAGTTTGGGATGCTGGGGCTGCGGAAAGGGAACCCTGCTTGGGAGGGAATTCTGGAAATCAGAAGGGGGGGTGGGGCCTGGAGTCCCGTGTGCAGCACTTGGCGTGGGCACCGGACGGCTTGGGTGGAGAAGGAATTAGCCCAGGTGGGACCCCCGGCACAGGGAGGGAAGGACAGAAGGGCTGGAGCGGGAGTGGACAGAGGCGTGCGCGTGACTGTAACCAGGGCCAGAGTCGATCTCTGAAGGAGGGGGGACCTGAAGTTTGAAGGAAAAGAGGATGGAAGGTAGGGGGTGCCCTGAAGAGGCCAGTGAGGGTTACGGGGTACTCCGGGTTATGGGGTAAGGTGAGGCATGGGCAGGGGCCTCCGGGGAAGGGCAGGCACAGGCCATGCAGAGCTCGTGGGATTTGCGATTCCCGGTTGGCCAAGGGCTGCGTACATGGAGAGGGGCCTGGATGACTTTGTTTTCCCGCAGGAGCTGACGGGTATCTTGCCAGCAGAGTATCCCCTCAAACCAGGGGAGAAGGCCCCTAAGGTCCGCCGCAGGATCGGAGCAGCTTACAAACTGGACGAGCGGGCCTTGCACAGAGAGGTGAGGAGCCCGAGCGAGCCATCTTGCCCCCACAAGTGTTGCTCACTGAGCCAAGGCCACGCCATGTGGAGGGGTTAGCTCCTAAGACACAGTGCGCTCAGCCAGGACCTGGCCATCTCCGTTTCACCCCAGCACACCCCGTCAGGGAGCTTGGCTCTGTGCTGATGAGGGGCACCCACTAACCTGTAGCCCGGGTGGCTGTGGGAAGGGGTGCCACCACAGGAGCTGGAAGAGCTGGGACCTCGAGAAGATGCTGGGTTTGGTCGCCAGTAGGCAGAAGTTCAGTTAAACGCTCAACCACCAGCCCAGAGAGGCAATGGCCTGTTTAAACAGGTTATTCTGGCCCCTAGGGCTGTCCTCCTCCACACGGCAGGCAGGCAGGCAGGCGGCGGGGGTGGCTCGGGCCCTAAGATCCCTTCCCTGTGGTGTGAAAGGCAGCAAGTTTCTCTGGGCCTGCCTGACCAGCCCTTGGGGTCAGGAGAGAAAGTGTCCCACTTTGGTTCCCACGCTGCCTGGCTCAGGGAGCACCGGGGGCAGGCTAGTGGGTGGGTCCCCCTGCCCACTTCTCAGGGCGACAGGTCTGCTCTCGGCCACCTCCCACTACCCCACCCTCTGCCCCGTGGCCTCCTCCGCAGCTATCTGCATCCCTGCTTCCTGGGCTTAGGGTCAGGATTCAGGGCCCCGGGGTCAGGGCCGTTCTCTGGGTCCCCGAGTGAGGCCCCTGCCTCTCCCCCCTCCCCAGGACCCCCTGAGCAGCCTGGAGCGGGAGCTGGCCCTGCAGCTGCAGATCGCTGAGGCGGCCCGGCGCCTGTGCCGGGAGGAGAACCTCAGCAGGCAGGCCCGGCGGCAGCGCAAGCACGCCATGCTGCAGGAGGAGAAGAAGCTCAAGGAGCTGGAGCGCTGCCTGGGCGAGCAGCGGCGCGCCAGCGGGCCCCCTTCCACCGCTGCCCTGCCCCTGGGCCGAGGTGAGCCAGCCGCCCCCAGAGCCCCGGGCCACGTGCGAGCTGCCTGCGATGGCAGGGGCCAGGACTCGGGCCATTGCATTTGCCTTTGTGCCCAGCACCGTGTCAATGTTCCAGCTTGGTTTTAGCTCGAAACCCGCTTCCTCGGTCCCCCACTACCCCACCCTGACCTGCTGCAGCCCCGACAGGCCGTGGCAAAGGGCTTCTCCATCCTATGAGATCCTCTCCCCCATCTCCTTAGAAAGCAGTCCACTCCTTCCTCATCCTTCTCAACGTCCTCTGCCCTTAAGAAGGCCTCCTGGGCAGAAAGGTGCTCCTCAGGCTGACTTCGAGCTTAGTCCTAGGGTCTGCTCAGCAGCAGTGGGCAGGGCTGCCCTCCTGCCCTCCAGGCCCCGGGGCTGGCGTATATGTTTGGGAAATGGGAGGCTTCCGTGAGCTCGGGCTCTGACCTGAGGAACTGTCCCCTGGCCTGTGTCAGGTCGCTCAGGGGCCTACTATTGCTACTCACAGCTGCTCCCTGAATTGTTTCAGGGGCCAGAGCTGCTCGTGGGATGTGTAGGTGGAAATCCAGCCCCACAAATGCCACACCCGACCGTTGCTTAAGTATCTAGAACCACCCTAGTCACAGGGAGGCCTCCACTTCTGTTCTCCGCTCTCACGGGGCCTCTGGTCTAGTCCTGAGCCCCATGGCCTGGAGACTTGGGGCTGTGGGGATACCTCGGAAGGTGTCCCTGCACAGGCCTGCCATTACTGGAGCCCCGTGCGTCTAACTCCGGTTACCTGCCGGCAAGTGGTTCTGAGCCCTTCGGTGTGGCTGTCGCTCTCCCCGGACCGAATCCAGCTTGTCAGGCTGAACTGCAGCCCTCCCTGCTGGTTCTCAGGGCGTCCTGCTTGCCCTGACCCCGTGCCTCTCGTGGGTAGCCCAGAGCTCCCCAGCTCCAGGGGAGAGAACCAGGGTGGGGTGGGGAGCAGTGGCCCGGGGCAGAACTGGATGCCAACGCCTCGGTCTGGGCACGGGGAATTGTTTACTTCTCCCACCATCAGGCTCCTACCCTGCACCTTGGGTTGGCTTTTTGCTGAGGCTGTTCTCCTCCCCTGGTTGGGGACACTTGTATTTAGAGTCCCCCATGCCTGGTGGCCCATGCCTTGGACTAGGGGATGCTCTCAGCCCAGGTCGCGGAGGTCTCCATTGCCACACATCTCCCTCTAATGTAGGGAGAAAGGATGGGACCCAACACCTCCCAGGTCACCTCCAGTAGAAGCAGAGGAGGCAAGAGGGGCCTCTGTGGGACAGCTGGCCCAGGAAACACAGGAGACCGGTACACCTGACACAGGCTCAGATGGCCAGACTCTTCTGGGTCACCTGGTTCTGGCCTGGCCTGGCTGTAAGGTAGCACTCCATGTCTCCAAGGCACAGATGGAAAAGAAGTTCTCCATCCTCCCTCTACTCCGACAGGGTCCACACACTTGACAGTACCGCCCACCCTCTGCCCCCCTGAAAGGAAGCTATGGACTCAGGCAGGAAGGTCCCTGAGGACTCACTTACTCCATGTCCCTGTCGCGGTTTGTCTCAGCCCCGCCTGTGTCCCCCTCCAGCTGGTACTATCCCACAGCCCCCTCTGCTCACAAGCCTGCAGGTGGTGGGGTGGCAGAGGGTGGGGGTGCTGTCCCTGTGCTGCTGCCATTGCTACCCATGACGCTCCTTGTGGGGGGCGGGGAGGGGGTCAGGACTTGCCTGGGGCTTTGGTTAACCCACCGTGGGAGGCAGGACGTTCTGAAGCCTTCTGCAGGCCCTCAGCTCAGGTGAAGACGGAGCTGTAGAGAGGAAACAGGGTGAAGTGGCTGCCTTTCAGCCTCCAGACCAGAGAAAGACCCTGCATTCTCTACCTTCAAACCCTGCCTTGACCGTGGGCATGAGGTCCTGGGCTCTAATGTCGTTCCTTGGGAGCCCAGTGGCTTGAGCAAGTAATTCCTGCTCTATGGCTCCCCTGCCCAGCCCTGCTTTCCCTGGAAGGAGAAAGTAGAAAGGGATTAATAATTAGTTAGTAGCTGAAAGGTGTTTGAAATTAAAAAGAAAAAGCAAACAAACAACAGCAACCAAAAAAAAAAGGGGGGGCAGAGAAAAAGCCCACCTGCTCCCTTGGTTTCTGCTCAAGGCTCATTCAGTTTAGGATAATTACTAATTATGCCAGGTGGGAGTAATTAGCTAGTACCCTGCAGGTGGCGGGAGCAGTCAGGTGTTAAGCTAATTTACCATGGTGAACTGGAGGAGAAATTCCCCAGGACCCAACCTCCAGTTGTAGCAGGTGCTCTGAATGTGTTTGTTGACTGACAACACCTGCCTTCAGCCAAGCTGCCTCCTAGAATTTCCATAATGGTGGGAATGTTCTATACCTGTGCTGTCCAATATGGTAGCCGCTCAAGGAGCTCCTGAGCATTTGAAATGTGCCCGATGTGACTGAGGACCTGAATTTTTTATTTTATTTCATTTTAATTAACACAGCCCCATGCAGCTAGGGGCAGCCTGTGGAACAGTGCAACCTTTGAGAAGGCTCACGTTGTGGGTATGATCTCCATAGTTACCACCCCACCTGGGGAGTCCCGCGGCCACTGCTGGACCAAGGGCAGGGCGAGGTTGATCCAGGGCTGGGTTGGGGCAGTGTGGCCAAGACAGGGAGCAGCCTTCAGCAATGGCTTGTGTTTGCAGATAGATGTGACCCACCTGTACCTTACCTCTACAAAGGCAATGGGTCCCCAGATGACCCTTGTGCACTTTTTTTTGGCCAGTGCACTTTTTTGGCAGTGCACTTTTTTTTTGGCCAGTGAATCTGGCCAATGATCTGCTTGTTTTTATGAAGATTAGGGATGATGAGACATGATGTCTTTCTTCCCAGGCCATATAGTCAAACCAAAACATACGACTAACTGCAGGGGCAGCGGGGGGACATGATAGTAACAGTCCCCCAATTTCTTCAGCTTAGCATCCGTGAAAAATAAAACTCTTTATTCTCCAGGGTTTTGGAAAAGATCAGAGGCAGAGAACCAGAATTCAATGAAAGGGTGTCTCCTCATTTGAACCCCAAAGCAAAGGCCAGTATGAGCCAAGCGCACCTTGGGATAGCTGGCTGCTTGGGAGTCGGCCCAGCTCCTTGGGCAGTATGCCCTACAGGGTTTAAGAACGACTCTCGGTAGAGTTTTTATTTCATTTAAATTGTGGAGCAAAGGTTGACAAACTTCTGTAGAGGCTCAGAGAGTAAATATTTTATGGGCTTCATGGGCTTTATAGTCTCTGTCACAACCACTCAACTCTGCCACTGTGGCTCAAAAGCAGCCAGACATTACATAAGCAAAGCTGTAGCTGTGTTTCAATAAAACTTTATTTAACTGGATTTGGCTCAAGGACCCCCAGCTTGCCAATCCCTGTTATAAAAGATTTCAAGATAGCTGGAATTGTTTACTTAGAACTTTCTGGAGAATGACTTATGCATTAGATGCCAGCTAACAGGAGAGCCAATAAATGGTCATGGTGACGAGCCAGAGTCTGGTCAGACTGTCTGGGTATGAATTCTGACTCCGTCACCTTTTGGTGGATTCACCTAAGCCACGTTCCTCAATTTCTCCAAGCCTTGTTTTCTTTTTTTAGCTGTTACATGATGATAATAGTATTTACCCTACGTGGTGGTTTTGATGATCACATGAGTTAATATATATGAAGTACTTAGGAAAGTATTGGCACAACAGAAATTTTAGCTATTGTTTTTATTTTTATTTTTTTGGAAGATTTTTATTTATTTATTTGACCAACAGAGATCACAAGTAGGCAGAGAGAAAGGCAGAGAGAGAGGAAGGGAAGCAGGCTCCCTACTGAGCAGGGAGCCCGATGTGGGGCTCGATCCCAGGACCCTGGGATCATGATCTGAGCCGAAGGCAGAGGCTTTAATGCACTGAGCCACCCAGGCACCCACAGAAATTTTAGCTATTGTTAATGTCCCCTCATTATTGTTATCATAGTTGAAAATACCTTGTGAATTCCATCCAGGTCATTTTAGGAGTATTCGCAAGGTCTTAAGTTTCAGTTTGTCCAAGGGCGATGGCAAATAGACGTTCCCTCAGATTTCTTGGGTCAAGCTGCTGCCATACCATGCAGAAATGTCACACTCCCATTTCCTTCAGGTGACCTGCCATATCACCAACTGAAGGGCCTTCCGTATCCGGCCAGGCCAACCCCATAGCTCAGATTCCCACTTTGCACTGCTCTTGGTGCTGGTAATGCAGGATTTCTCAGATTTGGGGTCCTTGAGTTGTATTTATGATCTCAGAACACTGGAAGAGTTAGGGAAATAATTTTCATCCTGAGGGCCTTCCAAAATGATCCTTTGCCTTTCCCTCCCACTGTCAGGAAACCCAGAGGAAGCTCTGGCTTTTTTGACAGATGGGGAAACTGAGGCCCAGAGCATTGAAATTGCTTATTCAAGGTTGCATAGCTAATGGCAGAGCCAGGATTAAAATCAGGTTTACTGTCTTCTTGCTCCTAACTTCTGATTCTTTTCTACTTCCAAGTAATATATTCATATCCAATATAGTATTTAGTACACAGTTGGTATTTCCTGATAAGGGATGTTATCAGGAAGGGGTGGGGTCCATACTGCCTGTTAATCCAGATCTATGGGTTGATTTCCTCACCTCCTTCTCTCCTGTTTGATTTTCCCAGAGCTCAGTGCCTCAGATGACAGCTCTCTATCAGATGGGCTGCTCCTGGAGGAAGGTGAGAGGGGTAGTTTAGGGATTGTTGTTAGGGCTGGGCTCCTACTGGAAGACGGGGATGGGGGTGGGGGGGGGACTTTGGCAGAGTTCACTAGTGAGGCCTTCAAGTGGGAAGTGGAAATTTAGTGACCTAGTGAAGGCGGGGTGCCAGGCTAGGCTCAGGGTCTGTGCTCTTGCTTGAAGATCATTTCTGTGTCCCCCTGCGCATGTTCATTTGAGGGTGGGAATGTGCCGACTTTTTCCCATTCTAGAAGTTCAATCAGTTTGACAGGGAAGTAAAAAGTGAATTCTAGCAGAGCCTGTAGAGTGCGGGGGGTGTCCCTGCCTTTGCCCTGGGACATTAATTCAATATGCACCTGTCAGACCCTAAAAGCCATCTGGCCATAATCATTGTCCCTTTTGAACAGAGGGTAGCACTGGGGATGGAAACAACAGTCAATAGATTAAAAACCCTGTTTATAAACCCTAAGGATGTTGGGGGTCAAGGTGGACCAAGAGGGTAGCACAGCCCTGCCTAGGGGAGTGCCCAGGTCAATAAGGGAATAGCACACATGGGCACAGCATGAACAAGAAAAATTGGTACGCGGAAAGTTAGCTGCAGACAGGGTAGTGGGAGCAAAGGTTAGAAGGTGGAATAATGTGAGTTAAGCAGAGTCAACCCGGGGAGGCTTCTTGAAGGAGGCAGGCAGGTGTAAAACAGCTGTGAGAGAGGCAGTCCCAAAGGAGAAGAAAACATCTTCGAGCATCTGGGCCTGGAGCCACAGCCTGGAGTAGTCAGCCAAGCAGCCTTGGGAGGGAGAGCAAGGCACAGGCCAATTTGGGCCTATTTGTCAGCCACTGACTTCACCAGGTTCTTCTACCCCTGCAGAGGAGTCCCAGATGCCAAAAGCTCCCCCGGAGTCCCCAGCTCCACCTTCCCGGCCTCTCCCACCCCAGAGCCTCGAGGGCTTGGAACCCGCGGGGCCTGAGACTGGGGGCCCGGAGCGGGCCCCAATCCAGAACAGCCCCTGGAAAGAGACTAGCCTGGACCACCCCTACGAGAAGCCCAGAAAGTCTTCTGAACCCAACAGCGAGTCCAGGTCAGGACGGGGAGGAAGGAGGGCGGGGAGTAGGTGGGAGCTGTGCTTGGCTGGAGGAGGGGTGCAACAGGGGAAGGTCTGGGAGACTGCTCCTCTCCTTAATTGTGTGATGGTGGGAAGCATGAGTTTTGGCGATCCCCTTCCACTGTGCCCCCCTTCCTCTGCACAACTCAAGCCCCACAATGGAGGCATTCTTGCCACTGACCTGTCTCTAATCCTTTTTCAGCAGCCCAGCCACCACACCCCAGGATGGGCCCAGCACCTCCAGCCTCTGGCTGCTGGAGCCTGCCTCCTACCATGTGGTTCCCATTCACAGCCTTCCTGGCCAGCGGCAGGGCCGCATCAGTGCCCCAGCCACCCCCGAGATCCAAGGCAGGAGGGGCCAGTCGCAGTCTCTGAGGTAAGAGGTCACCCCAGAGGTGCAGGGAGAGGGGGACCCACTCTTGAGAGCTTACATTTGGGTGTTGGTGGCTTCTAGGATGTAGGTGGGACTGTGGATGGCACATGCCTCGTGCTGTGGCTTCTCCCTAGGATCCCTTCTTGGGGCACCTCTCAGTAGAGGCCATGCCACGCACAAGCAGCGCGTCATTTGTGAAGCAGGCCGTTTACTGCACAATGCGATTCATGGTTCGTCCCCTTAGCCAGATTCTCTTACGGCAAGAGAATTTGGAACTTGGTAGACACTTCTGCAATTGTTTAAGATTGTTTTATTATTGGTGGCTGGCAGTGGACGATTCACTTTCTCAACTGATGTGCAGTCGATTCTCATTATTCGCGGTAGTTTTGCGTCCCATGACATCACAGCAAACACTGGGTGAGCAATACTGAACCATTGCTCCTAGGGCAGATAGTGCGGTAGGCTCCTGAGAGCTTCTGGTCACAACATTGTTGTCAGCTGATCAGTACATGACCTTGTTTCATGTGTGCTTCTGTTTAAAGACACCTTATTTAATATATATTATTGACCTCTTAACCTTGAATTCCTGGCCGATAGCACTCTAGGTCATGCCCAAATAAAGCTCAAGTAATACTTAATATTCTGCAAGAAGACATATCTAGAGCCTTCCCGCACTTGGAGCCGTTTTAAACAGTAAAGTCGCCAAGAAAGAGCACAAAAATACGAAACACATCGCACTAACTAGACTGTGGAGAGGATACTCGTTTGTAGTATAAAAGCCACGACAAGAGCTCAGCGCATTGCCTTGTTCTGCCTCAGCGGAGAATGTGCCTCGTGGGCATCCCCAAATTTTCACCATTCTCTGCACGTCCACACATGACCGCAAGTGTTGTGAGTGTCGATTGGAGGTTACAAATACATTTTTGCTGGGGGAGATTTTTGCAAAGACTGAATCCGCAAATAATGACAATCAGTCGGATGTTATTTTCCAATGTTTTACAAAGCTAGGACAGGCAGCACACGAACGCCCTGGGCACGATTGCTGGGTTCTTCTGTGGGTTGAAATGTGCTTGTCAGGCATTGCTAGGCCGGGTGAGGCTTGGGACAACTGCTCTCAAGTCAAGCAATGAATTTTATACTTTACATACTTCCTGGGCTAGTTTACAAACGGTGCCTTTGTGCAGAGGGGTGAGAGGCGCCCCCTGTGGGCAGACACAGCCCCACCGTAGCGCCTATTAACAGTGAGGGCTGGATTTCAGCCCCTATAGGTCCTGGGCTGCCGCCCTTAGGAAGGAACACGGTGAAGGCGGCTACTCTATATTAGTTTGGTAGCCTGGCCATATGGGTGGCTTAAATAAGAGAATTTTACTGCCTCACAGTTCTGGAGGCCGGAAGACCAAGATCAGGCTAGGGTTGGTTTCTTCTAAGGCTTCTCTCCTTGGCTTGTGGATGGCGGGCCATCTACTTCCTTCCCATGGTCTGTGCCCCACACAGCTTTACAGGTCCAGCTTAGACACCCGGCCATGTCTCCCTGCACGTTTCTGTGGGTGTCATGCAGCTGGACACAGGGTCCCTAAAGTGGCAGAAAAGAGGAGACATCGCTGGGGCATCCTTGACACAAACAGCGCAAGTGTGAATGCAGCAGGAACATGGCATAGGAAGGCGGGGAGGGGGGGGATCTGGATGTTTATTTTGGGGAGGTTTGACCCAAGACCCCGGCCTGTGAGCCATACTTCCTGCGAGGAAGGCCTCGGCCTTGCCATTTTATCTTCACCGCCCCCACCCCACCGCCCCCCCAAGGCCCACGGGAAGAGCCTGGGCCTCCCAGACTCCCAGACTCAGTGCGTCTCCCCTTCCTCCCCCAGGACGGACTCCTTCCGGGCGGGCCCCGAGGGCCGAGGTCGCAGCGCCTTCCCCCGCCGCCGCCCCACTTACTACACTGTGACGGTGCCCGACTCCTGCTTCCCCCCGACCAAGCCCCTGCTGCCCCACCCCGCCTACCACTCCTGCTCAGAGGACAGCGGCTCCGACGTCTCCAGCATCTCGCACCCCACGTCGCCCGGCAGCAGCAGCCCCGACATCTCCTTCCTGCGGCCGCTGTCCCCGCCCCAGCCGCCTCGCCACCGCGGGGCCTGGGGCCCGGCCGGCGCGCTCTACCCGAAGCTGCTGCTGCCCCCCGGGCATTTGGCGCCCGGGCGCTACGTGCTGGTGGCCGAGAGCGCCCTGCCGCCGCCCGCCGAGTGGGAGCTGGGCCGCGCCGCCTCGGGGCCCGCCTACGAGGAGGACCTGCGCTGGCAGCGCCTGGTGGCCCCCCGCGGCCGCGTGCTGCGGACCCCCTCGCTCAAGGACAACCCCGCGGGCCGTGCGCTCAGCAAGGCGGCGGTCTCCGAGGAGCTCAAGTCGTGGCACGAGCGCGCGCGCCTCCGGAGCGGCCGCCCGCACTCGCTGGACCGCCAGGGGGCCTTCCGCGTCCGGAGCCTGCCCCCCGGGAGAGAGGGCTTTGGGCGAGCCCCGGGTCCTCGGACACAGGTACGACGGCTCCGGGCTTCCGGCGAGGGGGCCTGCCGCTGGGGGAAGGGCGGCCGCTCTAGCGGGTCCAGAGCAGAGCGGCGGCATGCCTGCAGCGCCACCCCCAGCCAGGAAGGACAGACCACTAAAACGTTTCCCCCTGGCTTTGCAAGGCCCCCGGGCCTCTCCCTGGGGCCTCTCCTAATTTTGCCTCTGGCTCCAGAACGCATACCCACCTGCGCTGGTGGAGGTAATCCTGGAAGAGAGCAGAGACGTTTTTCCTTAATGGCTCCATAGATGGTCCGCAAAGCAGATAAACCTCTATTCATAATCGGAAGTCCAAGCCGAATTAACCCCCAAATTTCCTGACCTGAAGGCTCAGGACAAAGGGAGTCTGAAAACGTGTTCGCAGAAGCCAGGACCTGTGATTGCCTGTGTGTCACCTTCCTCTGACAGCCCTCTACACCTGGGGGCTGAGAAGCAGGGTAGCTGAAGGTTAAGGGCACAGACTCTGAAGTTAGGCTTGGGGGGGGGGGGGGGGTAATATTGATTGGCCAGGCGTCTATCTCAGAGGGCCAGGACCTTCACATGAGTTACTGTGTGTAAAATGATCAGAGTAGTGTATAGTAAGTACTAGTCAGTGGTTCTCTTATTGGCCAGGGGCCAGACTGGTAAGATAGAGCACTCTGACATGACGTAAGGGTGTCAACTGTGGATTCAGTGGCCCTGACCTTCATTTGGGAAGTGGGGGTAACACAGGAGTCCTGTCTTCTTTCTCTCTGGTACGGAGGGCTCTGCAGGGGGTGTGCTCCAGAAGTTACCAACAGGCTGCTCCTTTGAGACCCACGATTCCTAGCAGGCCCAGCTGCACGTCCCTCCCCCACCCACCCCCAGTTCTCTGGGCTGCAGCTGCCATCCTGGCCGGGCAGCAGCCTGGCCCCGGTCCCGGGCCGCACCCTCCAGCTGATGTGCTTTTGCTTTTCCCTTCCTGCCAGCTTGAACCTGCCCTCAGCCCAGGCCCAGCCCATCCCAACCTGCCCAACAGGGAGGATGACAAGAAGTGAGCCCAGGAAAGGCAGGGAGTAGGAGGTCAAGGTGCCTGTCACCCCCCTGGAGTGGAAAATAGATAAAGGGTGATCAACGGGGGACATTGAACCTCCTGGGGTGGGGCAGGGGCTGAGAGGCTGGGCCCGTGTTGCTGCCAGTCAGCGTCCATAGGGACGGGGATGGCGTGCCTGCATTTGCTGTCTGGACATTTCTACCTGGTTTGCTCACAGATCTCTCCTTTCTTCCTGACCCTGGCAGGTGGCCACAGTGTATGTGCCCCGGAGATCACCCGAAGGGGCCCCCGTGCCAGTCTTTGTGCCTGAGAATGGCGAGATCGTCAGCCAGGTGTAACCGAGGCCTGGTGTTACCGTGTACCCCCCACACCCCGGCCCTCTTACTGGAAAAGACTTGTCCACAACAGGACCGGAGCCGAGCCCTCCCAGCCTTGAGTGCCTTCTTCAGCTCCTTGACCCCCATCGCAGGTCGATGAGCCGGGGCTGAGCCTTTTTTTTTTTTTTTTTTTTTTTAATTTTTTTTTCCAGAAACCCTGACTTTAGGATTTATATTTGTGATATGTCCTCAAAATCCCTATAATATGATGATGCATTATTCCCCAGAGCTTGGTCTACTGGACTTGAGGCCTTGCCTGTCTGACTGACGGCTTCTGTCTCCTTCTGCAAGCGGCAGGGGATGCGTGAGGCAGAGGTCATGTTGGGATTCCTCACGGACTCGGGATTCCTCACAGACTCGACCCTTGGGCTCCAAGAACATCCCCAGGGAACAGCTCCTGTCCCTGGGACTGCAGCTAGAGGCATACTAGTGTGCCTCCCCCACCCCACAATTTCCTAGCTCTGTGGGTACTGTAGGGGTGTCTGAGCAGGGGGAGAATCTTCTTCCCCCTTTATAATGTGCTCTGTGATGCACACACGAAGCGGTAGGTTCAAGATTCTATGTCCTGGTGGAGTATTGTCTTCCTGGATGGACCCTGTCTTTTCCTCACCACGCAACCCCCAACCCCCACCCTGTAGGGGCCCCAGTCATTCACCATGTGCTGTCTGTGCCCTCTGGGCTCCCACATCGACTCAGACCTCTGTGCCTTGAATTTGAGGCTTCGCCAGATTGTAGCATTCGGAGGCCCAGGCTGGGGGCTGGCCTGTGGTGTTTGGCGGAGGGCAGCTCATACTCTGACCAGCTTCTCTGGGCATCGTGAAGACTGGCAACCCCACCCTTCCTTCTGTCACCTTTTCATTATAGTCCTAAAAAGCAGTGCCTTCCAGGTGTTTTTGGAAAGGCCCCATGTCTGTGGTGTGTTCTTGTAGGCGGGGGGGGGGGGGGGGTCCCTGCCCTGCTGCTCCCCACCCAGCTGTGCTTCTGCTCTGAGACTGGATTTCCTTGAAAGAGGGCAAGTCCTTATTTTTACGGATATGGGAATACTCACTCTCAAGAGCATTCATTAATTGTCCCATGTGCTAAAACCTGAGCAGGCCTGGAAACGGCCTGTGCTAAGACCATCCCGTAGACCCTGGGTCCTCATCCTTGGGCCTCTTTGCCCTCAGATCTCCTGCTCCAAAGAGAAAGCACAGAGCAGAGGCGAGGTGAGGGAGAGCTAAGTTCAGATTCTGTCCATGCAGAACCCTTTCCCCTCTGAGTGCCCTGGACTTGGACAGAAACTACAAATACAGCTTAAACCTCCAAGAACTTTGGTGCCTGACCCCAAAGAAGCCCAGTTCTCCCCCTCCTGGACAGAAGGTGGTGTGGCCAACTGTGCAAGGTTGCCAAGGGAGGAGCTTAGGTGGCCCATCAGGAATCTGGGGGAGGGGAGGAGAGCCTGGGGACAAGCACCTGCATACCTGTCACTACACTCTGACCACATCCTGCAACTCCCCCACTTTTTGGGTGGATGCCGGCCCCATGACATTTGAATCTCCTACTTTGGATTCTTATTCTCTTGTTTTGTCTCGAAGCCCCTTTCACTAATGTACAGCTATTTCCCCTCCCTGTGCCCTCCTGGGAGCCCAGAGCTCCCTAGGCTGAGCCAGGAGACATCCACGCACCCCCACACACATGAGCGTCCTTTATGTTAACTTATTGGTCCTGTATGATGCCTGGTACTTCGCTGCGGGGCTGGAACTGTGTGGGTTTTAGTGCCAAATATGTCAATAAAGTCTGTTCTTTGTGATTGGTTGAGCTGATGATGAAGGGTTCTTTTGTGCCAAGTTGTCTGAGCAGAGGATTTGCCCCAGATGCCTGCCTGGGGAGGCTGGTCTCCAGCCGGTCTGGCCAGGTGAGACGGCTGTGGTGGTAGAGGGAGGCTCTCCAGTTCTTTGCCTCCCTCACAGGACGGAATGGGGAACAATCCCGGCCAAAGCACCCGAGGTCTCCAGGGCTTGAGGAGATGGGCTCTGGAAGTCACTTTCTCAAGGGCAGGGGACTTTGTGGCAGCTTTAGGAGGTCTGAAGGCTTCCCCTGAGCCAGGCTGGACCGTGGTTAGTGATGGCGTGTGACTAGGAGTCTTCTGCTCCCTGAAGCTGTTCTAGGAGTTCTTGGCTGCCCAGAGTGGAGGTTCCCACGAGAAGCAGCCCCTTCTCCAAAGCTGGACAACGGGGGAGTTTCCTTGGGGTCGGCAGGAGGGGGCATTCTCCACAAGGTTTCCTTTCCCATATCGGGGCAGGATCACCCTCAGCCCCTCGTTCTACCCAGGGACCATGGGGTGGCGCAGGGATGGAAAGTTCCAGCTTGGACCACCTCCTGGCCTGGCCTGCAGGGGCCGCTACAGGACCCTGGAGCGCAGCGCCCCCTGGAGCCACAAGGCCCAGGAGAAGCGTGAGCCCCGGATCTGAGGTGCCCGGTGTGTCAGGTAAATGGTCCCCGCCTGCTTGTCGTCCTCCACGGCAAAGGGCCGATGGCTGCGGGTAGGGGTGACTCCAGGCTGGCCCTGGGTGCTGAGCCCTGGGGACGGTGGGAATCTGTGGGCTTCACGGGCTTGGCTTTCTTAGGCCTGCGGAGGTGGAGGGTAGTGCTGCATTCCTGTTGGAGGTGGGCTGGTGGAGGGAAGGGGACTCCAGGGGTCTCTGGAGGACAGAGCACTCCAATCATGGACCTAAGCATCTTCAACTTGGCTGAGCTGCTGATAACGGGGTTCTTGATCCTGTGCTGTAGACAACTTGATGCCTTAGGCTCAGGGAAGCTGACCGGGTACTGGGGGTGCCGAGTGGACCCCTGTCAGAGGTGGAAGCTCCCCAGAAAAGGACCGGCGGAGACCAGCTAACATGTGGGGGGACAAAAGAAAGCAGGGGGCAGGGCCATGTGTCAAGGCTCTGCTAAGAACAGCCAACAATAGGATACGTGAGTTTGGGGACCCAAGGTGTGGGGCACTGGTCTCCTAGCCCACAAACAGGTGTCCCTGGGCATTGTCTGGGAGGGGCCGACATTTACAGGCTCTTAGCTCCCCTACCACAGGGCAGAATGGGATTCAGAATTGGAGAATGGGGACAGAAGCCTCTGGTACAAGGGAGATAGAGGATTTTAGCAGCAAGACTCCAAGAGGCAATTCGGCCCAGAGGCAGACAGAGGGACGCTGCAGGTCCCCGATCCTGTATTTTAGACATTAGTAATGAGGCCTCGGGAGACCCTTCTGAATCTGAAATTTGCCCATGCAGAGAGAGCCCTGAATGGAAGACTCGTAGTCAAGTCAGGGTGAATCAGGGCCCTTCCGAGGGGCCCCTATCTTCCCATGGGGAGGGAAAGGAAAGCTGATGGTGGGGCCAGGCACTGGCATCGCCCCGCCAGTTCCTTTTCTTATAAATGGCCCTCCTCCTGCAGCTTCACCCGCCAGTGGTGAGGCTGCCTCCCTAGGAAGAAGCGTCTGACACCCGTCCTTCCTACCGTCCTCATCACCAGCTGCAGGCTGCTGCCCCAAGCATGCAGATGAATCCATACCCTAACAAGCAAAAGCCAAACAGAGTAACTTTTTCGCAATCGACCGGCCAAGTCTCTTGGAATCCTACCTTAACGGGTGAGCAGCTGACCCTGGACCGGGCTGTGTTTCAACTCATTTCAGTCTCAGAGGTGATGGTGATTGCCCAGCCCTGGCTTGAGGTGTCACTTCATGGACGCGAGTCAGCCCCCTTCTGGCTGCTCCCTTCACAGCTCTAGGCTCTGGGTACTTGTCCGCTTGCAGACCTGCCTCCATGAAAAGCCAGGAGCTGGGCAGGGAAGAGGACACTGGGGCTTTGAATTCAATCTCACCCAGCTCACAGCTACTCAGGGGGAGCCAACATCCATGCCCCCTGCCATGTTCTGTTTCCATGCCTATCTTTTCTCAATTGAACAACCAGAGTGATCTTGTTAAACAAAAGTCAGACCATGCCACTCTTTAATGCAAAGCCTCCCCAGGGCCCCCATCCCATTCAGAGCAAAAGCCCGAGTCCTTACAGCAGTCCTTGCCATGGGCCCTGCAAGGCCCTCATGACCTGTCCCATCACTGCTCTGCTTTTGTCTTCTGCCATTCTCCCCGCTCCTCCTGCTCCAGGTATATATTCCTTGCTGTTCCCTGACCATGGCAGCATGATCCTGCCTCCGGGCCTTTGCATGTGCTGTTCCTTTGGCGTAGAGTGCTCTTTCCCTAGATATCTTGTATGGTTTGGTCCTCATTTGAAGAACCGACCCTTGAAGACTACTCAAATTTAATCAGTGACATTTTCTCTGACCTCCTGTGTATATATACTAACCTATATGAACACATGCAAAAAGAATACCTTTAGAACAATAGTAACAGTAGTTTCTGTGAAGGAACCACTTGGTATGTAAGCTCTACATCTGTAAGCTGGGCTTAGAAGAGTGCCTTTTACATAGAAGGTGCTCAATAAATGAATGCCCAAGAATGAATTTATTAATTTCCTGCTATGTGCCAGGGATTATCCTATTTTTTCCATGAGTGAATTAATTATGAATTAATTAATTATAAATGAATTAACAAATGCATTAATTCAAATTAATTATGAATTAATTAACTCAAACCTCATAATAATACATACATACTGTGATTATTATGGTCCCCATATTAAGGTGATAGGACTGGAGCTAGGGGACATTTAATCTGCTCAAGATTGCTCCAGACATGCATTCAGTCATTGAATTATCACAACAATAATGCTATCATCTTCGCCGTTGTTGAGAGACTTACCTTGCTGAAGCTCACAGGGCCAATAAAATAGAAGAGCTGAGCTTTGAACTCAGGCCGAAGGACGTTTAATCGCTGAGCCATGGCTTTAAGCCCCACCCCCAGAGCCCTCTGCTGGCTGGATGACGTGTAGGGGCCTGAATCGGGGCTGCTTGCTTCTGTTGCTCTG